TAAACAATTTCATCTCCTGCTCTGTAAGTTGAACTTTAATCACATACAGGAGGCTCTTGCAGGGTCTAGCAAGATATTAACATAGCAGGGGATAAGAAAATCTATATGAAACATAATTTGCAATAAAGAAAGGATAAACTTTAGATGGCTTTACAGGAAGTGTTTATGTGCAAGTCACATACAGGGAGGTGTGACTAGGGTTCATAAACAAAATGATTTAACTCCTAAATGGCAGAGAATTCAGCAGTGAGGCTGCAGGGGCATGTTCTATACACCAAAACTGCTTCATTAATTTAAAGTTGTTTTGGTGACTATAGTATCCCTTTAATCATCGTAGGCATGGTTTCTAAGACAAATCATATTTTATATTTTCATTTGTCAGTGGGGCTACAATCCAGCTAGACTCTGATATAATTATAGAAAATACATAACATGGATTTGTGTGAAAAGAATATATGTAGTTAGTGTGATAAAACACAGTATTAATCTGTTTCTACACAAACACTTTCTAAAGCTATAGACACCTGTAATAAAAAATACAACTTGGAGCAAACATTATAGGCTCTTTTTATTGCACAGATCTTCTAAACGAGGATACTTTAAATATCAAAATATGCACTTAGACATAACAACAATATGGAGCTCCTAGAAAAGAGTGACATTAGGTTAGAAAAGAGGGACTGAGTTGGCAACAAAAAGGGACTGTATCTCCTAAATAGGGACACTTGGAATGTTTTAGGTGACTCTGAAATAAGAGTTGTCCCCTCTTTGCCTAGCCTCATAATTAAAATTACTTAACTCAATTACAGTGCCATTTTTTGGGGGGGCCAGAATTTGGCATATCAGTTTTCAACTCAAAACAATTTGTTGTTTAACAAATAAAATCATGTGTATCATGTAGCATTTATTAATTTATTTTACAAATGATATGAAAAAGCCCAAACTAAAGAACACATTCTGTTCGGTTTGATTATATTCAGTAATGGAAAAGAATGTTTATTAAAACAAGTGCTAATTTACTGCTCTTATAATTTGTCAAAATATATAATCTAAAGCCCTGATGTAATAAGCTTCAAGAGTAAATGTGCAGACTTATGTATTACTCCTATATTTGTGTCCTATATTCCAAGTGTTACCCAGTGACATTGTGGATCATAGTAGAGCTTCTTTATCTTCTAACATAAGCATGTCAAACTCGCATGCAGCCCACAATGAATATCTTTGAGGCTCAGCGAGCTGCAAGTTTGCTGGGGTTTAGTAGAGGAGTGTTCTGGGGTTTAGAAGAGGGGGATGCTTCTCAAAATAAACCTATGGGTTTTTTTTCGGCCTACATAAACTTAAACCTTGTTTTTTGGCCCGTGCTAGCCTTTGAGTTTGACATGCTTGCTCTAACAGGTCTGACATGAAGTTACTTGCTGGGAGTAGGAATTAAGAGAGCAACAAGAAAGAAAATATTGAGGAAAATGAGGGGTTAAAGGTGCAAGAGACACATGGGTTGAAAGACACTAGGATGTGTGCAAGAGTCACATGGGATGTAAGGGACACAAGGGGCGCAAGAGACATAAGGGAGTGTAAGAAAAACACGGTTCAATGCAAGAGACACAAATTGAGATTAAGACACATTAAAGATGGTAAGACATTCAACTGGTTGTTTCTAAATTTCTAGTTAAAATTCATGGGCACGTCTTCATGATACATCTTGTATTCAAAAAACATGATAAGTATTCTAGTAATATTAAAAAAAGAAACTGACAGTCAATCAGATATTGATTTGCTTTACTGATACACAAACAGCATTCTCTGTATGTTTCTGTTTTCTCTATCTGTATGTTAAACAAAATATAAAAATGCAAGGTGGTCAGGAAGTTAATCAAGTGATTAAAAATAGAAATAAATATAAATAAAGGTAAACTCATCGCTTGTCTTTATTTAAATATTTGAGTTATCACCCAACATCTACAGAAATGGAAATAATTTGTGAGCGCTGTTAACAAGAATGCTTTGCACCTGAAACATTCCATGCAATAATGATTACTTAGGAGTTTGAGATATTCATTCTCAATTTAGTTTGAGAATATCTTTGTAATTACATTCATAGAATATACATAATTTATTTTCTAAGGAATTGTTTATAACTATTGATTATACTGTGTATTAAGTATGCTAAATATGTAATTTTCTTTGTAAATTGCAATATATACACTTTCTATAATAATAATTTATAAAACAGAAAGTGTAATTCTCGCAATCTTGAAAATATAGAAATATAAAATAAAGACAAAACATATAAAGTTTTGTTTTGGCAGAAGTATAAATTACCTTTGTAGTTGCAGTACATCTGCCATCTGACCCACCGGACACTAGGTCACCTGTGTGATGAGATCAAGGCTGATCTTTCTTCAGATCTTATCACACCATAGTTGCAGCAGGCCACAAAAGAGCAATGCAAGATCACAATAGGAAAATTTATAAGATGGGTGACCTAAAGTCTTGTTTTCAAAAATGTGGGTGGAATCTCTGCGATAGCATTGTGTTGCATTAACAACGCAAACATTATATTCACAAGCAGTTGCAGAAATATACACAGAGGCACTCGCAATAACAATTATTTACATAGTGCCAAGATATTTATGCATTATATGGCATTGCACCATGATTAATACAAGACAAACAATTAAATAAGAGGGCCTTCTTCAAATAAGCTTACAATCTATTTATTTAGACAATGCTATTATCATTAACTTACACTTTGTTTGTATAGTAAATGGCCATCTAACTGCCATAAATTCTTACTCATTATTAAACAACAATTTTGTAATAAGTCACAGCACCCAAGCTTCTAAGTACTATAATCTTTGTATAGTAGCAAATTTCATTTTGTATGGTGTTTATAAAGGGGGAATTATGTGTAACACCAAAGCAAATGTTTTATTTAGTTTTTATATATATATGTTTTTGGTAGTACAACATTTAAATAGTATGTTGAAATAATATTTGGATGCTCTCTATTACATTTGGATGCTGTCTATTTGGATGCTCTCTATTTATTGGCTGGGTGGCAATAAATGCAAGGTGGGTGGGGACAGGTGACATGTTATGTGGCCAAGTGTGTGAATGTGACAGAGTGAGTGGGTATGACTGGAAGGTGAGACGGGACAATCTAACTGGGTGTATAGCGTTATATGATCGGTTTGGAGGTTGTGGCTGAATGACAATGTGTATGAAGGAGCATATTTCTGTGGAGTGTTAGGGAGTGCATGTGGATTAAAGGTGTATTTGTGTAGAGTGCTAGTTTATGAATATAGTGGTGTGTTTTGTAGAGGTCCAGTGTGTGCATGCAGGAGCATATATATGTAAAGTTTTAGTGTGCATATGTGGCTATTTAGTGTGTATGGATAGGTGTGTTTGTGTACTATGTTTCCAATTCCCATTTGCCCATGTGTATCTCTCCCCACTGTCCCCATTCGTTTATTTCTCCTCACATGTGTCCCTCCCCCCTTCTCCTTAATTATGCCCATCTCCCCATCTCCCCTTCCTTTCTCTGATTGTTGCCCTCTTCTTGTCCCCCCTTTCCTCTTTGCCCCCTCTTCATTCTCACCATCTCTTACTTGTCCCCCTCTTCATTCTCCCTTCCCTCACTTGACCCCCTCTTCATTATCCTCTTCCTTCAGGAACAAGTGAGGGAAGGGAAGAATGTTCTTGTCCCCCCTTTCCTCACTTGTTCCCCTCTTCATTCTCCACTTCCCTCACATTTTCCCCTCTTCATTCTCCCCTTCACTCACTTCTCTCCCTCTTCATTCTCCTCTTCCCTCATTTATCTCTCTCTTCATTCTCACATTCCCTCATTTGTCCCCTTCTTCATTCACCCCTTCCCTCAGTTGTCCCCCTTTTCTTTACTCCTTAAAATACCTGTTCCACTCTTCTGCCTGCCTGCTCCCTGCATCTCTTTATTCCCTATCAGGCAGCAAGAAGTATAGGAAGTTGTGCAGGGTTATAATGCTGAAGTCATCTCTGAGCACTCTTCTGCAGTTCCTTTCGCTGACTATGAAGGAGAGAAGACCTGCCTTTATGGATGCCAGGCAAAAAAGGGAAAGAGCTATTCACCTTCTTGCCCGAGCACTCCCCACTCCTGTATGCCGCCTCAACGCCATGGCTGATGATAAACTGTAGGTTTTTTGTTTATACAAGTACTATATAAAACCAATTGTAGTACACATTACTGCTGCAAAATCTTCACAACATGTCAACCACTAAAGCTCTGCAATGAAAAACAGAAACTTTTGGGAAAATAATAATTTTTTTTTTTTTATTCTTTATTTTTGATGTGCAGATGGTCACAATATATCAACAAACGCCACAACAGCGTATTTCAAGTTTCATACAAGGTAGACAGTGGCATGATAATTTGCACAATTTTTATATTTAACATGCTTAACTAAACAGTTGATATGTCCATGTAAGATTCGATGAAATAAAATGAAGATAAAGATGCTGGGTGTTTAACAGTGCTAGGTCACCAATGCTATGGTGAAAGTAGTGTGAACACGTTTTTATACAGAGCAGTATCTGGTTACGAAGTAAAGCATAGTAACGTTGTGCCATGAATGTTTAGGCTAGGAGGTATCATATTGTAAGTAATATTGCTAGTATTTGCCTATATTGTAGAGTGACATCACTATTCTCTCTAGGCATGGTTGCTCTGTGTAACAACAGGTCATCATTGAGTATTAAACCACTGGGAACATGTGTAGTCAGAAATATCATATTGATCACCGGCTACTGCTGGAATGGGTGTATAGTCTGCTTAGGATATGTATGGGGTCCCTGAGTTACCGTGTGGGTTTGGAACAGTACAGGTGATGAGGGCCCGTGTAGGGCAATAGAATGGGTACCTCAGCCAATACCTAGTGCTGGTAAGTCCAGGATTTTATCTTCCACTGTCTCTCTCTTGTCGCCCTTTGACTTGCTGATGTTGCTTCGGGAGCCGGCTCTGGCGGTACCCTGTGGAGTTTGTTGCCGTGCAGTCATTTGTGTTGCGTCGTTTTTTGTGAAGCGTCGGTTCTTGCTGCACTGATTGAGATGTTGGACAGGTGAGACACTTGTTTGCGTCATGTGCTTTGTGTTCCCGAGTGTTTTAAGTTGCGAGTGGGAGAGTGCGCCTGATATGCTTTCCGCCATTTTTCCTCTCTGGGCCTGCTGGTATCTGTGTTGTCGGACAGCCATTTTGGATGCTTGTGGTGTCTGCTTATAATAGCTGCGTCGTGCTGCCGGCCGAATCCATGCGGTTACTATTATCTCCGCCTAGCGGTAGGTCGCTCCTCTGCTCTGCAGGGTCTCCCTGAAGCTAATGCATAGGTGGTCAAATGTCTCCAGAGGGGACCTGGGTTGCTGGTTGCGGGTATTCCGCCCTCTTTGTTGACGCCGGCCAGCCATCTTGGTATTGTGGGCCATTTGCCCCAGCTTGGCTTGTGGCTGGATCGTCTGCTTTACTTTCTGGCCGTTGTGTCCAGTGAGGACCGGGATATCCCTCACCGGTCCAAAGGAGGGGGGTAGATGGAGTGCGTGTTGCTTGAAGGCTCTTGCACCGAGGAGAGCGGCCGCCTCTCCTCGGCTTCAGCCTCAGTAGGCCGCATTTGTGTCTCCATGTTCCCGGCCTCGACAGGCTCCGGGGTGGTGGCGTTCGGTTCTGGAGGGCACCCCCAACGTGGGTGGCGCACCCCTGAGTGGTTTTGGGCTAAGTAGCCGTTGCTTTTGCCCCAGATTATGCCCGCTCGATGGGAGCTGGTGGCAGATGCATCTGCATGGCTCGATGGTCAGGCTCCGCCCCCCGGAAAATAATAATTTTTACCAAGACATTAACCGTATTTAAAAGTTAAGTCACAACATCAAAAAGCTCCCAGAAATAAAAGATATGGTAAATATTCCCACACTAGGGTTATTTTATGCGACTGCTGGTTAGAAAAACACCCATGAATAAGCTTCTTTATGTATACCTCTTGAACTTTTAGTGGATCTCAATCTTTTAAGGGGGTGGGCACTTAGAGTAAAACTGATGGATATGATTTCCACAGCTGTTGATAATGTTAATGTTGGACTTAATATGATTTAAAGATTTTGAAATAAAAACTATTTGAAGACATCTTTGAATCTGTTTCAATATACTACGTATGCAATCAGAAGAGCATGGCATTTGTTGAGTATACTTTCACAAGACTTCTTTGTAATGGCTTCAACTAAATTACGAGCCCAGTTGGAATTGGAAGTGTAAATAACAAAAAGCTATGATTGTGATCCTGCTTGTAGTGGGGTGTATACCTGACGCATGGCTCCATCACACAACTATTTCATAAGAAACCAAAACCTTGAATAGTGTCAGCTCTGCTCCATTAAAATCAGATTGCTATCTTAGTGTACAAAATACCAATGAATCGGCCAGCATTTGTCTTGGCAAAACAATGCAAAAGCATCATATACAAACATACGTCAATACTAAACATGTCAAATATGATATCAGTAAATAGGGTTCCATTTGAGATAACTGCCTAAAAAAAACGGTTAATAACGTATTTGTACAGCAATGGACAATCAAACTTTTGGCCACCCCTGTTTTGCAGGAAGGCCAAAATTTGTTTTTCATCCGTTCTGCCACAGCTGCTAATGAATAAGAAGCAACTGGACCAGAGATCACCACAATGATCTCATGATAGGCAGAACAGCTACGGAGCTAATATATATATATATATATATATATATATATATATATATATATATTTAAACATACTAAAGAACAATCTAATGTTAATTTTTTGTATTTTACTTTTTAAAGCTGGAGCATTACTTTACCAGAGCTGAAACAAAACTTACAATCAATACATATATGTTGCACTAGAAAGACATACAATACTATAAAGAGCACATGATATTAGTCTTCATTTAAAACTTCATCATATATATGTATGTATATATATATGTATATAAAAACAGGCAAGTCAAAATAGACAACTGAAGAAGTTTTAAATGATATTTCAAATTTATGAGTTCTTAATGTGGATCTAAAAGTCATCTTGAGTGCTATTTGAGGATACTTCAAAGATATGTCCTATAGGCATAGAATGTTAAGTAATTCTAGGAGAACAATTTTCAGATAGATAGTATGGCATTTCATACTTTTAGTAAGAAGTAAATCATAGAACATTATTAAAGCCCATTTAGACAATGTCCTGAATAAACTGAAATTCAAAGGCTGACAGCATTCCAAGCAATACCAGTAAATAAAATACATGTTTTAACCAGCAAATCAGAAAGCAGGGTATAAAAGACATTCAAAACTTTCAAAATGACTGGAACCATTTGATGGACTTGGTTTCTAAAGCTTAAAGTACAATAGAATAGGAAGAATCATGACTGGATTATTTTGCAGTGAATCCATCTATAATCTCTCGAATGTTCAGATAAAAACATGGAAAAAACGTAATCTCTTTTAAAGCACCAAGTGGTCCATTGGGATAAAGCAAGCATGCTATGGAACACATGTTTCAAGTTAAATTCCCAGTAGACCACTAAGCCCACAGTCTAATTTATTTTTTGTTTTTAGAACACATCTATTTCCAACACGTCACAACTATTATACATTAAAGATCAGCCTTCTCATAAAGAGATATGCAACATTAGAATAATTTTCCATAAAGCATCACATCTTCAATCAGTATGAAATTCCTGAAAATATATCATGTGTATCTGACTACAGACCTCAGTTTGCCCTCTCTTCCTGTAACCCAATATACAGTATCCCCAATAAGACAATATGAAGGGTGAGCAAATTCTGATGGTAAGTAGAAGGGGTTTTGGGACTGTAGCTAAGTCTGAACCGCACATGTCTGTAGTTGTGCTCTTAGTAAAAGGACTCTAACAGCACTGGGGATTATTTTGTACAAAGGAGTTTTCCAGATCTGCAGAGATCCACAGTGTGAGAGCTGTAAGTGCTCTTCCAGTATTTACTAATAATAATTTTGCTAATTACCCAGATGAAGTGTGTTGCATTGAAGACCCAACAATCTGGTGAGCAAGATTTATCCTAAGGAACATATGTAGTCTCATCCTAACTATGTTAAGAGAACAACGGAAAACTGACTTATTTACCTGGATTGGAGGCTGATTCAAGATTTTGAGTCAATTCCATTACCCTCATCGATACACACTCTGTCAAGGTATTGTAATTACAGGTAATGTTTTAATGTGTAACTTTGTAATTCTTTATCCTATCTCCTATCCGAAGGCATACTTGAAAACAGTAGAATTTCTGATTCTGATCCTCCCTGGTGAAAACAATTAAATACTATTATTGTTGCTTTTTATTTTATATGGTTATATGAACAATTACTATATCTTGCCATTTTAGTTATTTAAAATCTCTATTTAGGCATGACATTTGACAAATACCTTCCTGCTTTTTTTTTAATTAAATCTATGTTACTTATCATTTCATTATCCACTTTCTACCACTGCTTTCAAACTTAATTTCTAAATCATTCAACATCATCAAGAGAAGGGACCAGAAGACCCACTGATGGGATGTGTTGAAGGAAGTTAATGACTTTGGGAAAAGGAGTAACAAAAAAAGAGTGGCTGTAACATTTGTCAATATAGAAACATAGAAACATAGAATGTGACGGCAGATAAGAACCATTCAGCCCATCTAGTCTGTCCAATCTTTTAAATACTTTAATTAGTCCCTAGCCTTATCTTATAGTTAGGATAGCCTTATGCCTATCCAACGCATGCTTAAACTCCTTTACTGTGTTAACCTCTACCACTTCAGCTGGAAGGCTCTTCCATGCATCCACTACCCTCTCAGTAAAGTAATACTTCCTGATATTATTTTTAAACCTTTGCCCCTCTAATTTAAGACTATGTCATCTTGTTATGGTAGTTTAACTTCTTTTAAATATGGTCTCCTCCTTTACTGTGTTGTATGTATTTAAATGTTTCTATCATATCCCCCCGTCTCGTCTTTCCTCTAAGCTATACATGTTAAGATCCTTTAACCTTAAACATACAACCCTCAAACTTTCTCTAGCTTTTCTCATCCCTAAAATACATTTCACATTGTGTTGGGTTGATGCTCAGAATTTTTTTTAAAACAAACCTTGGTCTTCAAGCAAAGCATTATAGCCATCCTTTTTGCTGTTTCATTGATGGCTGCTAGGGCAGCTATTTGAAACATGCGTCTCTGCTGATCAGTGTCTAATGGTACTTTCATCTGATCTGTCGTCACTTACATAAGCAATTGGTTATATATAGTTCTTGGTTGAGCCTCGGTGAAGAAATGTCTTGATGCACATATCACAACACTAAAGCAGGAATAATCTAAAACGATGCATTGACCTCAGTGTAAAATATTGCAGGGAATTTATGTAATGTGGAGCATGGTAGAGTACCGCAAGTTATGGAGTGAACTAATTTTGAATTAGATACAATGTATACGTTTAGTGTGAATTTAATTGAATGTGTGTTCTTTATTTTATTAAGAACAACATACACTAACATACATATTTGGTGGATGCTGTCTAATGTTAAAAAAATAAAATGCATTTGAATTTATCATTGGATATAATCTATAGATTTAGTTTTGAGGTAATGAGTTACAGCATAAGAAATACAAATTACTATTTTAAATTAATTCAAAATAAACTTTATAAAATAAAATTTAAATTAAAAGATTAATGAAAGTTTAGGGAATAGGCTTAGAGACCACATGTACTGTTCTCATAATACATCCATTAGAGAGAACACAAAGTTTTGGATTGAGGTTTTGTACTATTGGTATAACATTGTATAATATGATATAACAATGTGACAGGAGATAACAAGGGGACTGGAGCATAAATACGTCTGCTTTATTGTCAATTATAAAAACCCAACTACATTTCAGACAGTAAATGGTGGCTAGTGACTTATCTGAATAGAGTTGAGATAGTTGTAATGTGTTAACATAACCTTAAAGGGATACTCTAAGTAAAAAAACAACTTTAGCTTAATGAAGCAGTTTGTGTGTGTGGAATATGCCCTTGCAGTCTTACTGCTCAGTTCTCTGAAATGTAGAAGTTACATCACTTTTATTTCTGTTCATGTAGCCCTAGTGACACTTTTCCTGGCTGTGACACAGCCAATATGAAAAAAAAATGGTTTCATTTTCA